AACCAAAGGACTTAACAGCAAACTTTGCCTATATTTAAAACAAGAGTTGAGGCTGTTGATACTGTGCAGAGAACCTATGTGTATGACCAAGGCCATGGATCCCAGTAGGTAAAGAATTACCTTTAAAAGCAGCACAGCTGGGGACTGGGAACAGTTGTGCTTACACTGTTTTACTTACACAGCTCCTTGGTTCTACATGATCCAGGAAATTGTGTTGTCCTTTCCTGAGCAGACAGTAACAAGTCCTACAAAGTGCAGCTGAGGCATAGAGGGACTGAGCAGGAATTCTTTTGGCTGGCTGATCAAACCAGGCATCTGAACAGTTCATCCAGTCATGAATGCTGGTAAACCTGCTTCACAGCACTTATCTTCCTTTAGAAAATTCCCAGGAAATTGAAATATACCTTTACAAGAAGGCTGAGACTTACTGTTAAAGACTCCCTTGATTTGTTAGTGGTTAATGTTACTGGGTTGCTTTCTTCCATTCAAGAACCATCTGAACACAATCCTATGTCATGTACTCTAGGATGACCCTGCTCAAGCAAGGAGGTTGGACCAGATGATTCACTCTGGTCCCTTCCGACCCAACCAATTCTGTGATTCTGTGACTCATTAAGTGGAGTTCAGTAGGCTGGGTATCATAGCTGAGCACAAGTGGTTCTCCTTGCTGCTCCCTCACCCTGATGCTGGCCTTCCGAGCTTAGTGCTGGGCAAAATTGTGTCTCTAGGTGAACAGTTGTATCCACCACAGGTAGGGAAAAGTAGCTGCTCCTGATACCAAAACATCATTTCTAAAAAATATTTGCTTGGGAGTTGTGTGCCCTTTGGGATGTAACATCCCACTCTACTGGTCTGCTGGGCCCTGTGGTCTTTGCTCTCTGTAGTGATGTGGACATATGCATACAATGTCCAAGAAAACTAGCTCTATCAGCATTCAGCTTTGTGCTCCTAGGTAACCTGTGTTTGAGCCATGCAATGTTTAACAGAGGAAAACAGCAGTATGAGTAAAGCAGCAAGAAACAGCACAACTCATATGACAGCAAGAGCCTTCTGAAGGTAATGTAAGTACCCAGTTATCTTTACCTTAATGATTTTGATGCAGCTGTGTGGTATTTAGCTTGCGAGTCATAAAGCACATTTGCTTTCAAGGGTGAAACCTGATTTCTAAGTACCCAATTACAGCTGAACTTAATTTCGACAGATATTGAAGAGCAAATTCTGGGGATACATTATAGCAGTTCCACACAGTATAACTCTGCTCAGAATATTTATCCCAAAAGCTCAAAAGCATCTAGAAGAAATCTGTTTCAATAACAATGGGGAAGTATTCTGACTTTCTCAACTGCCAATCTTATTTATCATTACTAATGTTCCCTAAAGTTTACAACCAGATAATCAGGTGAATAAGCTCTCTTATTTACATCAAGGTGGTCCAGACAGAATTCACAAATTCATTTTCTATGTCAACCTCCCTTGTAAATCCTGATTTATTTGGATCACATAAAGCAAAGCTGCAGAAGGACAAGCAGGCTCCTTTTCACCCAAATCTTAGTGGTCAGAGTGCTGATGCAGGGTGGGGAAACCCAGTAAACATCTCATCTGCTCTGCTGAACTCATGTCTTTGAGTGTCTCTGCCATTGACTGGGGGGTGAGCAGGCAACTTATGATCTTCTGCCCTGAAGATGTTCCATTTTAAGTAGGACAGGAGATGAAGGTTATTCAGAGTTGCTTTTCTAGTCATTAGTAGTCTTTTTTAATGAGAATAGCTCTTACCTGTTTTCTGACAGGTTATGCATCTTAGACGCTATAAATCATCCCAACATGTTCTTGGTCTCACTGGTGAAAGAGAAAGCAGTAAACAAACAAATAAAAATGGCCACAGTCACTACAAATGGCAAAGATCCCATGATCCATCCACTGAATGCTACTCTGTCCATAGGCCTATTTACCTTACAAAAGGAGGTTTT